AGTTAATAAAGAAAATTAGAGCGCCACACGCGCCCCACGATGTAATACATCGGGGATAGTTAAAAAAAAAAAAAAAATTGACTCTGGACATAATGAACCTTTTTATAATGAACCCATTATATAACAAGTGCTTTTTAGCAAGCCTGTAGGGTTTGTTATATAGAGTCAATAGAAATAATATTTTTTTTGGATTTTTTTTTTTTGCAATTTTTCACTCATTCTATAATCTTAAATTATGTTTCCATCATATGTTTCAGTATATATATTGAAACAGCTAAAAATGGTGAGTTTGAAAATCACATGCTAACTTTTTTTTTTGCAAAAAGATATGGAATCAGGAACAATGATTTTTTGTGCTCATAGAATTTTGCAGAAAAATCACAAATTCATTTTTAAATTTTGGTCTAGATTTAGAATCATAATGCCAGCTGATATTAATTCGGCCAGAATTTGTGGATCATAATGCTGGCCGACTTTATGTAATTCCAGCCAATCACAGAATTTTTGCTGAATCATTTACATCCCATGAAAATTATATGTAATTTCATGTAAGTTTCAGTAACATGAATTTCAAGTAAATTTCACACATGATACATAGTACTGGCACTATGAAAAACTCAGCTAGCATTATTGAACTACAGTATATTCTGCATAAAGTTCAACCCTATCTGTGACATGTAAATTTTTTCTATTTTTGACATGTATATTACTAATTAGTAACAACTACTATATAAAAGTAATCATTCAGATTTCAGAGCCAGCAATTTGACTAAGGTTATGTAACAATAAAATTGGACCTGAACAGAAGCAACCCCTTCACTTTGGCTTAAAAAATTCACATTTTTATGTGATATTTTGGGTTGGTTGCTTTTTTTGATAATATTTATTCAGGATCAAGAATTTGTTGCCTTTGATCTAAAAATTTTTGAGTATACATTTCTTTTAAGATGCCCATTAGATAGATGCAGTGCTCCTCTTGAAAACAAGTAAAGGTCTTATATGAGTTTCATTTTCTTGCTTTAGTTAATGTTTTTATTTCTGTAAACAATCATTCTACAGATAATATTAGTTACAGAATTTAGTTCTAATGACAAATCTTTTGGGATGGTCTATGCACTATAGGAATATCTTAGATCTAAGTTCTTGTTACTCAAAATCTAGTAGGAGTTTCTTTGGAGCGCCTATGATGATTCCTAAGCTATAGGAAATTCTGAGGCTTTATTTTTGCTGTTTGCATTATAGATAAAATAATAATTACTTAGTATTATTAGTTAGCATTATTATAATTAGTGTAATTTAGATTACAAGTATAGTTGTATAAGATAATTTTGTAAATAAATATTTTATAAAATATCATTATAAGTATAATTAATAAATACAAAATATAAATATGCAATTAACTATATTAGGTGTTATTAAATATATATTAAATTATAATATTATTATTATATATATTAAATAAGCATTTATAGAATATTAAAATTAATTATTTGTTTAATACTATTTATTATAATAATTAAAAAATATCAAATTTAAGTAATTTAATAATATATCTTAAAAAAATATTTGTAAAATAATTAAAATTAAATATTTAATTTGTATTTTATTATAATATTAAAAAAAAAAAATTTATTAAATAATTAAAATAAATATTTAATTTATATTTTATCATAATATTGAATAAATACCTGTTTCAAATATACATAAATATTTATTGAATATTAAATATTTTATTAATATAATCTATAAATATTTATTTAATAATTATAGTTAAATTAATATAAGCTTAACATTTTTTTAAGTTCATGATGAATTAAATGTATATACTATAAGATAAATTATAAGTTTTTAATCATGCAATAAATTACTAATATGAGTATTAAATTTAATTTTAGATATGATAATTTGAGGAAATGTCAATAAAAATCAAACAAATTAGTTATAAGTATATTTTTTTAAAAGTTAAAGTAAAATATCTTAACAATTATTAAACCAAACTTGATAAAAATTTTTTATTTTAATTTTATATAGTTATTAATTAAAAAAAAAAATTCATCAAGTTTGGTTTAATAGTCAATAAAATATTTTAATTTAAAATTTAAAAAAAAACTTACTAAAAACAATTTGCTTGGTTTCTATTAACACCTCTTTATTTTATGAAATAGATAAGTTGTTACTTCTTTAAATAATAGGTTGAAAGTTCAAAACCCACTGCTAGCAAAAATTTAGATTTCTATTTGTGTTATAATAACTGTTTCTAACAATTATTAATAATAATAATTATATTAGTATTACTGGCAGGTTATAAAGCATTTGTTAACTAGTTATACAGAGAAATACAAAATGCATCAAGCAGTGCAAACTTAAGATAAGTCTATATAGTCATATAAATTAATTAAAATTAGAAAACAAAAAACCTATTTAAGAAGATCTAAGTAAAAAGATAATACAGATTTTTGATAGTACTATTGTAAAATGAATTAAATAGACAAAAACCTTTAAATAGAGATATTACCAACCAGGCCACTAGAATTTTAACTAAGAAGATTAAAGAAAAAGAATATCAAGTGAATTTAATATAACAATAAACTGATTATAATCTTATACAAATCATCTAAATTAGAAGTTAGAAGCATAGAAGCAAATGTATATTAAAATACTAGAAATATGCTATAAAGTAATACTGAGTCTGAATAAACTTTGCAAGAGCACAGTCTTGTTAAAGTATATAGAATGAGTAGATAAATAAATAGCAAATTCTTTTGTATTTTACTACCAAGTAACAGATTTGCTACAGTTTAGATATTATTATAAAAAAGCATAAAGTTGAATCTGAATGGTTCTTAATAGAAGCCAGCAATAGCATTATTTAGTCTTAAAGTAAAATAGTTAAAAATATACAAATACTAATTAGATAAGCAAAGAGTTTAAATAAAACATTCATAAGCAGAAGTCATGTATAGCAAATAGTGAATAACTCTAAAGCAAAATCTTTAAATAAATAATAACTAAAGTTGTATATATAATTAGCTGTACTATTATAAACTGTAATTAAAATATCACTAATTAATAAAAAATTGGCAGTTTGGCTAAGCAATTGACTGCTCATTTTTTTTAAAAAAAATTTAATTATGATTACTTTAATGATTATGTTTTAAAAAAATATATATATAATTAATTATAATTATTTATTGTGTAATAAATTATCAGAATTAGTTGAAGTTTAATTCTGTTTACTTTAATGTTTATATTTCAAAAAAATATATATATGCTTAATTGTAATTATTTAATCATTTAATAAATTACCTGAGTAAATATAAAATTTAATTCTGGTTAATTATATCTTCTCTTAAAAATAAAAATATTAAAGTAAACTATTTAATCATTTAATAAATTAGCAACATAAGTATGAAGTTTAATTCTGTTCACTTTAATTGTTTAATAAATTACTAGTATTAGAATAAAGTTTAAAAAAATGTATAATTAACTATAATTATTTAATACCATAAATCACATACATGAATATGAAGTTAATTTTGTTTATTTAAATATTATAAATTATTTGACTAATGTTCTAACAATAAGCTAACCTATAATAGTATTATTAACCAAATTTAAATAATTTACTGCTATAAGCTTAATGTTTTTACTGTGATTAAACAGAATATTTATAATATTTTAGACCTAACATTTGATTATTTTATCTATAATAATAGTTGCAGGTTTTTTTAAAAAAGTTTTTCTAAATTTATTAATATGTTATTGATATATTTTTGATAAATAATGTATTAATTTGCAATACCAAATCTTCATTCTTATAATACTTTCTAAAAAAATAATTGTAAACTATTTACTTTATTAAAAATATATTTGCCTTAACAAAAGCTTTTACAAAATCACTCATTATCATTTTTTTAGACTCTGCTACAAATAAAGAATTTTTTAAAGATAAACAATTTTTAGTAATTTTTTAGACAAATTTGCCTAGAAATGGTCTATGTTTTAAGGAATACTATTCGCGCAAAATTATAAATGACTAGAATAATAGTCGTGTATCTACAATTAGGCATCACTTTGATTAGAAAAAATAATATCTATTTTTAAATACCATACTATTTTAACAAAATTATTTAAAATTTTATTTTAAATAGAACAATATATTATTATAAATTGTTACAATACTATTTCGGGGGGTTTTTCTAAATAAAATTTTAATCTTCAAAAAAACCAGTATTCAATTTTATCAATTTCATCAATTTCTTTTTTCTTGATTGGCCTAAATTTATCTTCATTTTTAAGTATGATTTGCATTTCAGGCGATGATTCTGATATTATTTTTTCCGTTTTATCATTCCATGACTTCGTAATAGATGTATCATTACAAAAGCAAATGTATTTTGCTCTTAATTTAGCCTTAAACTTATAATCTAAATCATTAGATTCTAATACTCTGTCAAGAAGAGCAAAATCGTGAATAAAATCAACTTGATAACTATATATACTCCTACTATTTTTCACTGCATCTGTAATTGCATCACTTTATTTAAAGAATCATAGGTTAGTGGGAACTAAAATATGAATAAATAAATTACAATATTTAGAACGTACCTCATGAATGAAATTATTACATTTTGTAATATAATTACAAAAACAAAGCTACCAATTATACTAATTATAGTGAGTGGCCAAAAATTCCATGCATCAAATGAAATTGAAGGCCAATCATATACTGCAAGTATAGAAGCAATAATATTTGAAAATGGATTATCAGATTCTTCTTCGGTTGTTGTTGAAGATTCAGTTAGTCCAATGTGAAATGAAAAACCAAGTAGAATAAATCTAAATATATATAATTAATATTAAATTTTTTAAAATTTCATAATATGCCATAAGAGCATAAACTCACAATGCATGTCCCTGATAACGTAGAATGATAATTAAAGTATAGTGTTAATACGAATAAAAAGTAAAAATATTCATCTAAAAATAATTATGTTACCATTGCAATAATAGTTAGAAGAAAAAACAACAAAAAGTGTCGTATTTTGACAATAATCTTTAAGAGTATATAAAGATACAGCGCAAATTCTAAGTTTTATATATTGCATATACATGAAAAGTTTAGAAAATAATTAGTCAAAAAGAATCATTAGAAAAAATATTTACCTTCAAATATTCGTAATAATAAAATCTAATAGCAGTAAATAATTGTTAGGGACAGTAAAAAATGAAAATTGAAAGAATTCATGATAATACAATTTCAGATGTCGCAGCTGATATTGATATTAATTGGACCTTTAATGGGATTTTAAATTTTTTGGGAGCTTTTTTCTGTTGTTATATTAGGGTATGTGGGTTTTGTAGAATTTATTTTGATAACGATAAAGTATATGTGGTAGGGTTAATTTGATAATGAAATAGATATGGGGTTTCGAAATATCCATATTTCAAATATTGAACTAATATTCGATATTAGTCATTTTCAGCATCAGCCGTGACAATGAATAATAAGTATTTACTTACAAATTTATACCAAAGTATTACAATACTCAAAAAAACAATAAATGTAAAGCCTTGACTGCTTTCAGCATTTTTAAATCCGTTCTCAACCGAATAATAACAAATCAAAATATAGCTGAGAACAAATATAGAAATAATAAGTGATAGAATATCAAGTATATTAAAACGGTCCATAAAATATTTAAACTTTTTTTGATAGTGATTATATTGGTTAATTTCAATCACTATATGATAAAATGATAAATAATAAAATAATATAGTGCCTAGAATTATCAGAATATGTGAAAATGTACCAGTTATTTGAACATGAGCAATATATGCCCAAGTAATAATTGAATAGGTTAAAAGGTATATGAAATAAAAAATCAGGACTTTATACCAATAGGATCTAGAAGAGTACCACATCCAATTCATGATAGCATTCATAGATGGGTTTTCACATAAAATATCAATATCAATATCTTTTATTATTTTAATAAAGGGACTGTTGGAATCTTGATCGAAATCCCGGCTTGAAAGAATAGGACAAATTAAAAAGTTTTGAAAGATTGAAACTTGTTTATTTCTTATATCTGACCGTTTTTTATAGCTTATTGTAAAATTCGGTAAAGGTACCATTCGAATATCATCAAGTTTATTAGGACTGTAGCAATTTTAAAGTAAATTTGAATTAAATTATAGTAAAACAACAACGTATTTAATGTAAATCATTTCATACTCGATCTTTTGTATGTCTAACTCGGAATCTTGTGGAATCAATTGCGTTATAGGTATAAAAATCTTTAACAAACCATCTAATGCTGGTGAAATTTCAAGGAATTCAAAGGATAATAAGTCCAATTTTTTACTACAAAAGCATGGATGGTTAAATAACTTTTGAGCATAACAATCTATTTATGGAGATTAACATTATAAAAGGTTCATATAATTATGTGTTAATATGATAAATTTATAGCAAAGTGGATTTTAAATTTATTAATATCATCACCTTTTTCTTTCTTTTTATTATTCGACATGATTTCTACAATTTTATTCATCCATCCGATGTTAACAACTTTTTCCTCACTCTTATATAATTCCGGTATGATTTCTACAACTGTATCCATCCATCCAATATTATTAATTGCATTATTAGAATAATATTCCAAAAAAAGTGCTGACATAATATTATCTTTGGACAAGTAAATAAAATGTTAATATTATTGTACATTTATAAGTAGTCTGTATAATTTTAGTATACAAACCTGAAATTGCATTACAAATTGTAGCAGAAGAATGAGGTACATGAATCAATTTTCTGCAAGATAAAATGTGATTTACAAGCCCATAATCTTTTGCTTCAATAAGAACACTCATTAAATCATAACGAATATCTAACAACCGCCAAGCAGTTGGATATAACCTAATAAATCTCATTATTATTCTTCGTGTTTGTTCAATTATATCATCTAATTTTAATTGTTGATCGTTAGAAAGGAACATTTCAAATTTCTTATAAACAGAAAAATAATTAAGTGCCAAACAAGCATATTTTGCTATATCCATAAAATCTTCTTCTATTATAATTGTGGAAATATCCTTAACTGATTGAACAGAATGAATGGCAAGTTTGAATTTTCCGATACAATACTCGATGTCTGTTACCTCTATGGCAGAAGAATATTCAAAATTATATAGTTGCTGCGTCGTGGTCAAAGTATTACGGTGACGGAACGAGGGAGGTATATGCACATAAATGAATTCAAGCGATCTTCTTTCTGATTCAAGATTGCGCCAAACTTGAATTGTATGACTTCCAATTAAAAGCTTTTTTTTTTTCTCATCAATGTAGAACGAATCTATTAAATATTTATTTATATAATATCCTTCAGTGATTAACCATGGTTCAAGTATAGAATAATCTTTATGCAAATCTGAGGTATCACTTGATGGTTTTTTCCAGACTTGAATATCACCTTCCTTTAAATTCTTTAAATATATATGTATGTTCAAATCGTCATAAATGGCTAGTTTGTCACCCTGATCAATGACTATTAATTTATTTGAAAGTTTTACTTTTTTTTCATTTAATTGAACTGTAAATTCTGTAAAATCTGATTTAACAAAACTTGGGAATGAGCTGAAAATATTCCAAAAAAAACATTTATATTTTGTATCTTTCGAAAAACATACAAATATCGTCTCATCATCAGGAAAAAAATCAATAAAAATTCTATTGTCACTCAATAATATATAATCATCAAAAATATCCACAAGCTCTGCTATTTCAAGGCCACATTCAATTAAATATACTTTGATTCCTTTAATAGCTAATGATACATATGCAAATAATTTGGCATCATTCGATACTACATAATAACTAGGAACATCGAATTTTATTGATCTATTTGAAACCTTTCTCTGAAAAGTATTTACTAATTGGTTTGTCATTAAATCATAAAGTTCTATGTATCCGATACCTTCTTTCGCAGTATCAATCAAAAGATAGTATTTACTTAAACACATTTCAATATATTTGCATATAAATTGATATGCTTTATCAGCAAAATAGCTTCCACTAGGAAAGAAGGCCAAATTATTGATTATAGCATTGTACATTCTTTTTGGATATTTTAGCTTTTGTATGTCTTTAATAGATCCTTTCTTTATATAATATTTGTAGATTCCTGAGAGTGTTAAGAGAATAAGAAAGTGCTTATCACCTTTTTTTATATCATCTTTTTTTTTATGATATTTTTTTATATTATTGTTTTTAGAAAATAAATTAACTATTCCACCATATTTGATTGGTAATTCTTTACCATTAATATTACAAATTGAATAATTATTATTCTTATTATTCTTAATCATGAAAACAAAGGTAAGTCCATTATTTTCATTATTTTCGATTTTTTTATGATATGGTTCATTAGAAGATTTCATATCCTCAAGGTTGATGCAAGATAATGCTAATAATCTAAATTCTGGTAAGCTAGTTGATTTATCTGACACGGTAATAGACCACCTAAATATATTTTTATATCCAATTTTCTTGATTAAATCTAATTGTTCTTTAATAAATTTAAATGGCTCATTAGGAAATTTAAATTTAGGTTTGATAGGAATATCGATACTGTGTAGATCTTTATTTATATTATACACTTGTAATTCGGATTCTAAATTAAAAATTTATTTTTAATACAGTACAATTCATTTAATTGAACAGTTATTTAGCAAAATATTTACCAAAGTTGTCATTCATTACAAATTCAACTACAAAGTCACCTTTTGGACTAATTGCAAAATCTTTCATAAGTTTATTTTTTTTGTTATCATCCTTTCTGTCCTTGGATGCTTTTTTGTCCTCAAGTATTTGGACAATGGTGTCATCATTTTTGATAGTTGATTTTGACATAATAAGTAACAAGATGATTAATTTTCTGCCGTTATCCTTTAATTATAACGGACAATTAACTTGGTTGAATAATAACAACTCAGGTTTCAGTATTTAAACAATCTTATGTGGCTTAATATGCTTATTAATGTGGCTCAAGAAATCAATATTTTTATTTTATTGTTGTAGTGGTGGCTGTTTCAAGAAGTCAAACTTTTTATTAAATTGGCTAAGTAATATAGTTGTATATTGACGTTAAGATTTGATGTACTTTTGCTAGTAAACCTTGGGTTCTTTGAACATGCATACATGACATAGGCTAAACTTATATAATGTTACGTTATTGATGCAGAGTGTAGAATTTAACCTATAATTGTTGGTGAAACCTCAAATAGCCAAGGATTAATAATGAAATTTAAAGCTAAGAATAGCAAAATGTAATATTTGATAAAGTCAAACCCAGGCGTGCTATAAACTGTACGCCATTGCCATGACTAGTGTTGTTACAGTAGCTGAAATACACTATTTAGTCAAATATTTAGAAACTCGAGTGTCTAAATATGGTATTATTTTTTCAAAATCAAATAATATTATATGACTAATTGCCTAAATATATATTTGATTGAAAAATTGTCTTTTTATATTTAGAGTATTACAGGTGAAATAACAATAATAAGTTAGTACCTTACAGATTAGTGGCACATGAAAATTTAAAGAATAATAAATAGCAATGAATACGAACTCAAGGATATCAAAAAAGGTGGTGTGACTGTTAAATGAAGCTGCGAAAAGGTACTATTAATAGAACAGAGATAAAAGCAAAATAATTTGCAAAAGTTATGGTTGCAGATATTGGTAATTAAATGTTTTTCCTTTCAATATTCAACAACCTAAAAAAAATGCATCCGAACTTTTATGCTAATCAATGGGTTATACATTCTGTTAACCTCTGACAATATCGTATTACTATATACTTAGTAAAATTCGCTGAAACATTATTTAATTTAGACATTTCAATATCATTTATTATTTAGAATTTCAGCATGCAAAATGTCTAAAATCGAAATATTTTGACATTTCAAAAATAATTTCGGCTAGCCATGACGACAAAAAGAAGTCTTGAATCCATGCTGTTAGGCACTATCATTATTGGACATAATATTGCAGTTTATCTGAAAGCGCATCAATGTACTATATTACTATTAATTTGTATATAGCAATATAATTCCAACACCTGGTGTGAAACACATAAAATAATATTTTATGTGATGCACACCAGGTGTTGGGTTAGTTGTATAACATTAACTGTCTCTCCTGTCGGATTACCAACATCAACAAAATAAAGGAAATGAGACGAATTGTCGCTTCGAATATACATGTGTGCCGAAATCGCTCATCTTACAGCTGTTATCATAAATTCTGAGACACCTGGCAAAAATTAACCGAATGATTTTTCGGCCGATCCGGTTAAGTAATTAATTTCGGTATAACGATAATTTATACCAAGATAAAAATCGCCACCCAAAAAAGTTTCGAAAATCATGTGATATTGTCAAATCATCAATCATTAAATATTAATATAATGTAGTAATTTTTTTCTTCGATACTTCAAAGTGAAAAGCGATTGTTAACAACACAAGATCCAATAAACACATTATTCTAAAATATACGTTGATTGCTGTAACCAAATTTCCACTAATAATAAACGTAAAAAGAATGAAAACCGAAATAAAATTATAAAAACTAATCAAGAAAATGCAATTGCATTAGAAAATCCTGAATCCAGGACGCAGCAATAAAATATAATGATCCCAAATAATAACAAATGGCTTGATAGTATTAATAAAAATTTTGTGCCATTGCATAAACTGGAGGATTATACTCATTTTAAAAAGTAATGGAATATTCCAAATACTTAGAAAAACCATTAATCATAATACTTTCTAGTCGTACGTTGATTGAATAAATAAAATGATTAATCTATTGCTTATCGATATTATTTTGTTAGTCTGTTTGTATAAGTTACATAAATTTTTAATGCTTGATATATTAGTCATGTAATGTATGAAACTTTTTTGGGTGACGATTTTACCTTATCGTTATATCGAATACTGCCGAAATTAATTACTTAACCGGATCGGCCGAAAAATCATTCGGCTAATTTTTGCCAGGTGTCCAAACGTGTAAATGATGCTAAAAATGTTCCATTCTAATTTTTGACAAATTTGTTTGAAATAATACAAAATGAAGCTTTTTTTAGACACTTCTACAATTCCTGTTTTCTAGGATTGCTAAGTTGGCTCAAAGGTCAATTCCAAAAAGTCTTAACAGCCCTAATTTCCTGTTCGCATCTGTTTAGAAAACAACTATAAGTAATGCAATCTACTAGTTTTTTATGCATTATATATTTTATATAAGAAATTAAGACTCTAACATGCTATATAGAATTTTTATAAAATTTTTTTTAAGTGATTTATCATGAAAGGATCTTATAATCTTGTCAAATCGTGTTTATTATTTATATTGTTTATTAGCTTTTCAATTATAATAATATCAGCGGAATCGAACCTGTACATTACACCAAACACTACTATATATACAAACTTTACCTATACAGAGAATACACAAAATACTACATTCCCCCAATCGCAACCTTATGCAATTGACATTCAATCTTATGATGATGGGACAACACTCATCCATCTTGTTAGAAATAATAATACTGCGAATTGTTTTGAACCCATCTTACGTATAAGAATTATCCATTTAAATGGTTCCGTCACTGAGATTAATACTGATTTAAATCTTGATTCTGTAAATTATTGTTTATTTAACGACACACTTACTGGCAAAATGGAGAATCCTATCTCAATACGACCTTTAAAACAACCATTTATATTAGTTAGTTATATGAAAATAAATGATCCAGATTATAAAATCTGGGGAACTGTTCTTAATTGGAATGGCGAAAAACTAAGGTCCGATGATAATTTATGTTACAAAATACTTAAAAATTTTTAATAATGAACTAATTGTCAACATTATTATTTATTTATTTTAAAAAAACTAGTTCCATATTGCTTAAATCAATCCCTAAGGAAGGTTTGGCTATGAAAAGTTTAATTGAAATAAACATAAACAAGGAACTATTTCTTTACGTAAATATCCATGAAAATCTCATGGATGCCGGGCAATATTCAGTGTATTCGATTTCCTATAATCCTCTTATTTTTTTCATTTAATCAGTAAAATTAACTATTGTAATTAATTATAGTGATGTTAATGGAAATTTATCAGAACTTGGCTATTCTCGACAAGAGATCGATCGATTACCCACTAGTTATACCCTTTTTACGTCATTGGCCACCGTTGATGAAGGTTATGCAATATTATATGCCAAATATTTCAATTTTACGAATCTACTTGGCGGACTGTACGTCAGCTTTATAGATCGCAACAAAATTTCCTTGAGAAATTCTATTCTTCTCTTTCCAATAACTGTACCTGGAATGAAAATTAATGCAGTTCATTGTAATACATTTTGGGGATTTTGTTACTATTGTATTGCTTCCACCATCATCTACAATAACAAAGTGCACTATGAAAAAGTTCATTTTTGTACAGAAAAATTTTTAACTTCGTATCCAATCCAAATTCCCAACGAAATTGGTGTGCTCCGGAATGTGCTTTCAACGCCTATTGGCGGATACATATTGTCTGCTGTTAACGACACCACTTGTTTCATGCATATTTCTGAGTATTTTAATTCAAATTCAGGAGCTGATCTGACGTACTTTAATACAACTGGTGTTAGTGCATATGGCATCTTGAAACATAATAATACTCATTTACTCTCTCTACGAGATACAAATAGTAAAAATATTTCTTGGTCTTTGCTTACTGTTCAGGTGCCTAAATTTCAAGGGAGTATGTTTATAAATACTTATTCATAATGATATTCTTACCCATAAAATTCATACTTATTTACTATTCATTATTTTATTCGCATTAATTTAGTAGGTGAGTAAAATGACGATTTATATATCGATAGAATTAAAGTTATAAATACTCTTTTCTTATTTAAATTCACAAATACCTTATTCATTATTTCATTCACATTAATTTAGATTGTGAGTATAAAGATGATTTATAAATCGATGGAATTAAAATCATTAACATAAATACTTATTCATGAATACTCTCTCTTATTCATAAATACATACTTATTGGTTATTCATTATTTCATTCACATTAATTAGTCTGTGAGTATAAAGATTTATAATTAAAATCATAAACACAAATACTTATTCATAAATACTCTCTTATTCATAAATACATACTTATTTGTTATACATTATTTCATTCTCATTAATTTAGATAGTGAGTATAAAGATGATTTATAAATCTATGGAATTAAAATCATTAACATAAATACTTATTCATGAATACTCTCTCTTATTCATAAATACATACTTATTTGTTATTCATTATTTCATTCACATTAATTAGTCAGTGAGTATAAAGATTTATAGATCAATGAAATTTAAATCATGAACATAAATACTTATTCATAAATACTCTCTCTTATTCATAAATACATACTTATTTGTTATTCATTATCATTCTCATTAATTTAGATAGTAAGTATAAAGATGATTTATAAATCAATGGAATTAAAATCATTAGCATAAATACTTATTCATGAATACTCTCTCTTATTCATAAATTCATAAACCTTCCTTATTATTTCATTCGAATTAAATTAGTCCGTGAGTATAAAGATGACTTATGAATCGATGGAATTAAACTCATGAGCATAAATATTTATTCATGAATACTCTTTCTTATTCATAAATTCGTAAATACTTTCTTATATATCATTCATTATTCATTCGCATTAATTTAGCTGGTGAGTATTAAAATGATTTATAAATCGATGAAATTAAAATTATGATCATAAATCATAATATAAATACTTATTCATAGATACTCTTTCTTTATTTACCATTATTTTAGTTAGTGGTTATTATAATTACGGTAATATGGTGATTGCCAATGTTACCCCGTCCATTAATTTTAATGTCGATTCATCAACTACCAATATAAGCATCAGTTTCGCTATTTCTGTTGATTTGTCAAAAGGCAACATCACCATCTACAAAGTCTCTGATCACAGCATTAGGCAAAGTGTTTCAGTAACCTCTGAGTTCTGTAAACTTAGCAATAATAGTAGGGTTGTCAATATTAGTATCATTGATAGCACATTTAATGAGTATGGTGAGAAATATTATGTGAAAGTGGATCATAATTTTGCCAAAGCTAATGCTTCATTGGATAATGAACCTTTAAGAGGAATTGAAAGTGGAGTTTGGATTCTTAAATCAAGTAAATTTAATCGTATTTTTTATTTGTTTTTAAATAGGAATCACTGAAAATCACTTCGACAATTTAGTTCACCGATAATTAATTCATAGACAAGGTTTATTTTACCGACGATTAATTCACAGACAAGTTCATTACATAGACAGTATATTTCATCGACAGCTCATTCACCGAAACAGTAATCCTAGTCACTATCGTTTAAAAACATGTTGGCGAAATATACTTGTCTGCGAATTAATCGTCGGTACGATAACCTTGTCTGTAAATTAATTGTCGGGAAACTAAGTTGTCTTTGAAGTGATTGTCAGTGAAATAATACGGACCCTTTAAATATACCATCTATTTTATCTGTTTTATTTTTTAAATCATTTAGTTTATAGAGCGCGTTCTTCAGGTTTGTATTGACATTATATTTATGCAAGGATGGTAAATGACCTGAAATGACCCAAATGACTCAAATGACAAATGACCAGTCATTTGTCATTTCAAAACTCAAATGACCTTAGGTCATTTGACATTGTTAATTAATAATTTAATGCTTTTTAACCAATTAAAATTGATTATTTTACAAAAATAAAATAGAATCAATAATTATAATTACATATAAAAGTTAATATTTTACTAAGTTAATTGATATTTATATCTTAAGTAAAGTTGTTTAGAAGAATAAATTACATATATTCTAAAAATTTTATCTAATTATAAGAATATTTTATTAAGACATTTTTATATTTTATGTTTATATAAAAAAATTTTAAATTTTTTTATATAAATATAAAACACCAAAATGTATTAATAAAAAATTATTAAAATTAAATAAAAATTTCAAAATATATGTAATTTGTTCTTCTAAACAACTTTATTTAAGATATAAATATTAATTAACTTAGTAAAATTTTAACTTTTATATATAACTAAAATTGTTAATTAGTGAAATTATAATGTTCGATATCTTTTTATATTACTTTATATTCAAATGACCCAAATGACATAATGACTAAATTACCTGAGTCATTTAGGCAAATGACTAGGTCATTTAGATTTTGAGCAAATGACAGGTCATTTACCATCCCTGTATTTATGTACAATATGTTTCACACGATTCTAATTATATTTCCTTGTAGAAATTGCTGCTACGGGTTTAGCAGTTCTCACTATAGATGCTTCCAGAAAATTTCTAACATTGTCTAGAAACAATCAGTCAGAATACTTTGATACTCTATTAGATGAGCTTGCTCATAAAGTACCAGTTAGGCGGGAACGTTTGAGTTCCGATAAGAAGTTCCAGTATTTCGACGAATTTGGTCAAATCGCCATTTCAATTCGTATAGATTTGCCAACTAATGAAACCGAAAATACAGTTCCGGGAGTATTTTCAAATTTAAACAATAGGATTCTTTACAAAGGAATCACCACTTTCCACACCGGTATGACAAATGATTTAAACTCGACTCTTGGCTTTCAACCACATGGTGAGTCGATAATTGTATTCCAAATATTGATATAATTCAATAAATCACACGACTAATTTTTCCTATAATAGAGGGTCCATGGGATAAATTCAAATTACAAATAATTGCTGTAATTGCAATTTTTGTAATATGTTTATTTTATCATATATCGAGTTATAAACTACACTCAAAAAAATTTGAAGCAATAAGTTCTGCAATATTAAGGCTTGGATTAATCATCCCTAATTTTATTCTTTCAATTCTCTTTATCGTTTACAATTCTAATGATATACAGGAGCTTCATTTGCCAAGGTATTCTTTACCAATATGATTAAATTAGTGTTAAATTTTTTATTACCTGATTTTTAATTCTTGTTAAATCAACAAATGCACAAAGCTTGTTCTTTTTTAGTGCATCGATACTCGCAAATTTAAGTATAGCTATTTATACTTTCTACAATGGAATTAACGATCCTGTTGTTGGGAAGAATTTAAGGAATGGGTTAAATATAAGCAAGAATTAGTAGCTATATTTACTATATTAGCAACAACTGATTATGAGTATCTGATAATTTTGAAAGATGTGCCTATATTTAATAAAGTAGCAATTGATTATAAGTATCTAACAATTATTAAAGATGTAACCAAAGCAGAAATTGACGAGTATTTAAAGATTTTAGAAGACGTGCCTATATCTGATGAATTCAACAAATCAGATAAAATCAAACAAATTGATATATTAAAGGCTTTGAAAGACGTGCTGCCCAGATTTGATGAATCTGATGAATCCGGTGAATCTGATGTGTCTGGTGAATCTGATGAAATCAAACAAATTAAAAATGTAATCAAACAAATTAATACATTTAGGAAAATATTTAGATTCACGATTATATGTGGAGCGCTCTTTGACATTTTTTTTAGAAATATTCCACAGATCATTATTCAAGTGAGAATCAATTATTATATTTATTTGTGAAGCTTTATTTTATTAACTAATTCGCTTTTATGTATTTAAATATCTTATTCTAAAGGTCATTTATTACAAATCCGTCGTGATATATAAATTAGTGCCATTCCTTTTATTAATAACTTCTTGCCTTAAAATTTTCATGATAATAATTAGAAGTACGTACAAAAGAGCAATGTTGTACATTTTTCAGTAAGTATAAAATTTATTTGCTTTGTTTTTAAAATAAGCATTTATTTTTATATTAATTTTGTCCTAATCAAATGAATCATTAGGAGGTTAGCATAAATCTTTACACCATTTATTGAAACTAAATTTTGCATTCTAACTTACTTTAACATATTAAATTATACATGCATTAAAGGGAGTAAGTATTAAAGTTTGCTTTATTAAATTTGCATTTAATCATTATATCTCTAATCGATTATACGAATATTAAATCTCCAGCTTGTGAGTACTGTATAAACTTTACTGCAAATTATTCATTAAATATTAATTTTGATTACGTGCTTTTAATAGAAAGTGAGTAAATTTAATTTTTTTAATAGATAGGGAGTCAAATTCATTATTAAAATTAGGCGCTTCTATTTATTTACATGCCAGTATTGCTGCTAATACATTTTACTCTCTTTAATTTTCATAAGTTTAAAAAGCTAATAAATTAATACAAGTCTAATACATATTATTTATCATAAAAGGGATAGTATTTGCGGAAAATACGGAAAATGTAAAAAATGTAGGAAATACAACACTTCTCGAGTTTGGTGCTTAAATTGTGATCCTGAGGAAGAAACTCAAGGATGGACAAGTGGCAATAACGATATTGATGATGAAATAAAAAAGTTTCAACGTGGAGCCACGGAATACGATGAAGTTATTGAATGGATTCCATACGATAACTTAATAAATACTGAAAAGATTAAATGGGTTCCAATGGATGGAAATAATTTACAAGAAATTGATGAGAAATTAGATTTATTTATGGCAACTTGGATGAATGGTATACGAACAATCAAATATGTATCTGGAAGATATACACGGTCACGCAATGAATCACGCATTGATCTTATAAAATTGCATAATTCTCAGACAAATACTTCGGATGTTATAAAGAAAGTAAGTTGATTTTTCACAATGTCATTAATTTGGTGCACTGAATAATATGATTACTAACCGACTGTTGTATCTTGTAAGCTTAATGAAATGATGAAAGGGAAGTATAAAATATATGGAATAACTAGAGATGAGACTGAACAATATATGGTTGTCCTAGATTATTATTATAACAAAAGAGATATCAACAAATATGGAGTGTGTAATGAATGTAACCGACCTAATACCAATCCAGAATGGTGTCAATCGTGTGATCCTTCCAAGGAGGTAAACCATAATAAACCATTAAATGACAATGATGAAATTAATAATTGCATCAAAAGTTTTCAACTTAAAGCTATGGATTACGACAACGTTATTGAACAGATTCAATACAATGATTTAACAAAAATTAAAAAGATTAAATGGGTTCCAATTGATGGAAATAATTTACAAGAAATTGATGAGAAATTAGATTACTTTATGGCATCTTGGAAGGTACGAACAATTAAAAGTGAATCTGGAGGATATGCACGGTCACGCACTAAATCACGAGTTGATCTTATAAAATTGCACAATTCTCAAACAAACACCTTGGATTTTTATAAAGAAAGTAAGTTAAATTGTCAATATGTTATTCATTTACTGCATTAAATAACATAAGACTTCTAAAACGACACATATATCTTGTAAGCTTAATGAAATGATGAAAGAGAAATATAAAATATATGGAATAACTAGAGATGAGACCGAACAATACATGATTGTTCTTGATTATTATTTTAACAAAAGAGATATTAAAAAATATGGAGAGTGTAAAGAATGTAAGCGACCTAATACCAATCCAGAATGGTGTCAATCGTGTGATCCTTCCGTAATCCAAAATAAATCATTAAGTGATG